GTACAAGGGGAGATGAATGCATATTTTTGATACATTTATATAAAAAATGCAGAGGCTCCCGAAGAGCAAGATGTGGATGTAGTGTTTGAGAACTTTCCAGATGACAACAAAAAAAAAACAATAGTTGAAATAATATTTGAGGACTTTTCTACATCGCCTTTTAACAGTCCTGTAGCATCACCCGAGAGTAAATTAAGAAATTTGGAACGGTCCCCTTTATATTTTTTACGCGAAAAACCCAAGAAAACCTACAGTCGCGAATTCAGAGAAAAGGCAAAATTGGCTCTTTTGTACGATTCTACGCCAGAAAGTAAGTAGCTCTTTATAATCTTTTTTTAAAAACTCTAACTTTCTAAATTCATTTTAGAAGAAGATTCAGATCGAGGTTCTGACGATATCGAAAAAGAAGACACATACAACGCAAATGAAAGTAAGTTGTTTTTAAAATCCGCGATGAGACAATATTTAAATTAATCCAAAATTTTTTAGATCTAGTACCATCTAATCAGTATAAAATATACAATTACAATTGGGATGACGATGATGATGACATAAGCTCTCAAGACGTGAAGATGAATAATTCATTTTCCATTAATAATTTTCCCCATACGTCTAAGTTCCCAGTAAATAAGCAGATAACCCAAAAAGCTAGCGGAGAACGGCCGGAGTTGGGAGTAGATAAAGACGCAGTTGGCGTAAGTGAAATTTCTAATAAAAACGAAACGGAAGAAATGAAAAGGAAAGTGAATCGAGATGAAGTGGGCAAGGTGAATAATCCGGAAAGTTCGCTTGTTTCTGCTGGTTTCCAAACAGCGAATGGTAAAACAATCTCCATATCGGAAGAGAGCAAAAGATCCGTGCAAAATATTTTAGGAGAATTTCAAGACAATTTGCAAGAAATGAATTATGAAACTGAACTAAAAGACATAAAAGCTCGAATGTCGATTAAAAGTATGCAGTCCAAGTTTGCAAAAACTGGAAACAGCAGTGCGCAAATAGCCAAAAAACAGACGTGCAAGCGATGTGCGAAGAAGTAAAATTGGACGAAGCTCCTAGCAACAGCAAATTTGTATCAGCTGGTCCAACGCTGTGTCGCAAAAGGCTTTTATCATTGTCATTAAACCCAAAATATAATTATAGGCCACCCCCCCAACTTTGTGAGACACCGGAAAGAACCTCGCGACAAATTGAGACTACGACTAGTACACCAGGCGTCAATAGACCGAAGAGAGGGCGGCTCTCGGGCTTAAGTCGTAATTATACTAGTTCAAAGAAATAAGTACGACTTTATATTACATTGTGTAAAAGCAACGGAACTGGTTTTTTTGAATTTAAAAACGTGTCGATATCTTTTTTCCTTAAAATTAGTTTTGCTATTTTTTCGCATTTTATTTAATTAATGATGACATAGTGAACGTGTTTCATATTTTCTTTGTTTATATTCTAAGGAACTTGTTGCTAATTTGTTATTTATTTATCATATACATGTATCATATGATTATTTTTATTATTAATCTCTGATATCGTATCTCCCCACTAAAAATCTTTAGTATCAAAAACTAGTAAATGCTTTTTTAAATTTCATTTCCCGCTTATTTCTTATAACATTTAATATTGTATGTTTAAAAATATTAACTAAATGTTCACATGTTAAGTATTAAATAAAAATTCATTCTCGTAACTCAATTCCTTTTTGAAATAGCAACTCATGATATAACAGTATATGTATAATATATTACGCAATTTATAGAAATTTGTTATATCGCGGTTATTTATAACGGCTTTGCCGTTTGTGCTGTTGTCGGCAATGGGCAAACCTATATCGCATTACAAAACTTTAATAGCTTATGCATCAAAAATGTTTGCCTACTTTAATTATGTCACTACGAATCTCCTTCTGTACGTAACAATATATACGATATATTATGCCTTTGGTACAGTTTGTATAATGTTTATATCGTCCCTGTTTGTTGTGTATATGCTTACAAAAATTGTATATACTTCCTTATGTAGGCTTTTTTTCGAAAATAAACTTATGAATAATGCTTTCTTTTGAGTGCAGTTCGATAACACATATTTCGATTTCGGGTGCGTTAATTTCTTTTCTTTACAATTTGTTTGCGTATATCTTTTTTTCTCTTACATTTTCTTCAACCCACTTCCATGCCAGACGCCACTTTTCTCTCTTTATTCTGTTGTCCAAAGTGAAATTCTTTTAAAATTTTTATCGTCAATTCATTGTTTATGACTAGTATTTTATTTTTGGTCCGAATTTTATATGAATATTAACAAATTAAAATTCATCAAAATTACACCACTAGTTAATGAAAAAACTCTTTCTTTTTCCAATCATTTAATGTTTTTCTTTTTCGTCGTCACAATTGCCCGCACAAGTTTTCGTCTCTTTCGGCTTCCCAAATCAACCTCGCTTCCGAGGTTAGTTGCAGCTCTATTTGCCCTTTTCACTTATTCTCCGCTGAAAAGTTCTTCATTTCTCCAGAAGTGAGATTAACAATCTCAGTAACAAATATTACAAGATACAACCACAGGTTACAAGCGTGATAACTGTTGACAGCATTTGATGATTTATCTTTATGTAGATATAAAGTTTTCTGATTTGCATATATTTGGAAAATATTTGATTTTGATGCTTTATTTAATTACGCAAATGAACAATCGGACTCCTCCATGGGATTGCTTTTTAAAGCCATATTTTCTATATCGTCTTAGTCCGCAGACTTTTTTGAACGTAAACGTAGAATGTTCAACACCTGAACTGAAGGTAAGTGCTGTCGTACTATCCCAAAAATGAGCATATGCTCTCTCGCGGAAGAGTTTAAGTTACAAAATTCGAAGAATCTTTTTGCAAACGTTTGCGGTTTATCACTAGATAAAGAATGCGTACCACTATGATAGTCAACTGACGGAATGACATCGCGCTTTTTGGTCTACAATTTGATTGTATTCCAAAATGATGCAGCAATTAATTTTGGTGGCAATTCCCAACTGCGCACAAGCCGCTTCTTTATCGATATTGTATGTGTGTGGTTTATATTTTCATCTTGCTTCTGCGAAGGAACAGAAGCAAAAAGAAAAAGAACGTGGGGAATTTTTTATTATATATTTATTTTTATTTATTAATTTACTTACTTATACATGATTGGTTATTTTAAATGGATCGTTTATTGTTTCTTTACAGGTTAGCAATACTAAAGGTCGACAGATAGACTACTCCTCCTCCGCACATCTTACATACGCGGCCTTTAGAAGTTCTATAGCTAAAAATGCTTCACAAAGTTCTAATCTCAGTTAAGTTTGCATTTTGAAAGTTTCTACACGAGATTTTGTACATTAAAGATTTGTTATCACTGTGCCATCTTCAAAATTAGCTTGGAAGTAAGCTGCGGACCCAAACGCTTTTCCGGGAGTGTCAGCAAACATATGCAATTGGGTGGTACAGTTTCTTTGAATACGTATCGAGATGTTCAAAGTATGTTTAATGTGATCAAATTTTCACGAAAATTTTTCAATGTTTAGGTGACGTCGGTTGGAAAATCTTCCTGTCGTGTTTATATACGTACCGCATTTGTTGAATAAATATTTTTGCCCTAATTACGACAAGAGCCAAAACTGCAAGCGGATCAAAGAGCCTCGCCAAAGCGGAGTTTACATTGTCATGCTTAAATGTTTGCTGCTTGTATAAATAACCAATGGATTACTTTTAAAAGAGAAGAATACTAACGGCGAAAAGAAAATAAAAGTCTTGGAATCGAGGCGCCTTACCGACCTGGTCGTCAGCAAAAGAGTTGGTCATCCAACATATGTTTTCAAAAAGGTTATTTTATCCTGATTTTGGCTGTTTATATATTAATTCTATATGTTTATATGTACGTGAAATAAGTATTGCCTACTCTACAATATTTGCAATAATTATTTTGGATAAAAATATAATTGCTGAATTGCCTATTTTATTATTTTCGTTCAACAATGAAATATAGCATGAACATTTGCGTATAGCCTTGCTGTATATATGTTAATAACATTGGAGATGGCCCAATCGCGACACATTGTTGAGTTACTCCTTTTTGTAGAAACATCTGCTAGGTCAACCCTTATTTTGACGCACTAGTGGTCACATTTAGGGTGTTAGTAGACTGTTTATCGCTGCTGTTGAAGTAGAGGTTTGCTTGTCGATGATCTTGTGAAGTGTTTCGATTTCCGACAAATAAATCAAGGTTTCCTTAAAATGCGTATCAATTGTCATTATGATTCAATTATTTAAGGAAGCGATTTTGCTTCCTTACGGAAAACTAGTCCGTCCGCTTAAAAGTCCTCCCGAAATCCGCAACCAGCAAGTGCGATCTGTCCGCATGTCGTTCTGTGAACAATACACGAGCAGCCTCCTCCAACTTCAAATGCAAAATCACAAATTATGCTCGCAGAATTAAAATCTCAAAACACGCACTAACTGAAGATCATAAAAACGCACACCCATCCTTGTAAAATCAAAATCTCAAAACACACACTAACTTAAGATCATAAAACATACACCTATTCGTGTAAAATTAAAATCTCAAAACTATTCCTGTAAAATTAAAATCTCAAAACTATTCTTGTAAAATTAAAATCTCAAAACACACACCAACTGAAGATCATAAAAACGCACACCCATTCTCATAAAATCAAGGTCTCAAAACACACACTAACTTAAGATCATAAGACATACACCTATTCTTGTAAAATTAAAATCTAAAACTATTCTTGTAAAATTAAAATCTCAAAACACACACTAACTTAAGATCATAAAAACACACACCTATTCTGGTGAAATTAAAAGGATCTCAAAAACACACTAAACATGCTCATACTTGTATAAGGAGAAAATGTTTAGACACATATTGCACAGGCTTACGCTAATTAATCCATAGGAACACACACTCCAGCACCAAACGAAGGGTAAAGAGAATGAAGGAAACTTGCATGAAATGGCTCGTAGGCATAGAACATATAAAATCATACAACACAAACGAACTTAGGTAATATTTACACAACCGTCAAAGCGCAGAATAGGTAGGAATAAGAGCTGTCCGACACAACCCATAGAACTTGTGAGCCATATAACTCAAACCCAAGTCAACCACAGGTATAAAACCATATGAAATAAGTACAACATATACAGGAAGAAATCTGTATGCCTTAAAATTGTATAAGCGAACGATAGGAACGCGTTGTTTAAGCATGTAGAAACCCTTATGCTACGCAATGCTTAAGCATACTCGCTCATGCAAACTCACATACCCAAAGAATCACGCATAGCATTTTATAGTACTGTTAGGTCATAGTAACATACAGAAATCTGTATGCCTTA